GATTAACCAAAAACAAGGTCATAAGCTCGAAGAAAATGCTTAACAGAAAAAAATTACAAAAAAACCACAATAAATACACTAACTCCCTACATCACAAAAACACGAAGAACAATTTAGTGACACATCGCAGATAAAATCATAGTGAGAAAAACTATGCAGAAATATATTACAAAATCAAATACATGAAAGACTTACAAGGCTCTTGTTCTCTCTTTGATAACAGCAACTCTCCCTCTTATACAAAGCTCTCACAACTCACAAATGAAAAAAAAAATCCCTCTTTTAGGTATCTCCAAAGGAGGAAGAAAACCGGGAAGAGAGCACTTAAATTCTCTCTCAAATCTACCTCTAGTAGCCTCTAATCCTTCTTTGCTGCAAAACTCCCTCCAAGAAGCCCTAAGAATCAATTTTTTAGCAAGAACCACGGATTGGGCCATCAAATTTCCTTTATAAAGTTTTTTTTCGCTTGTCGGCGTAGTCGTGCCAGTTTCTGACATGGTCATGCCACAAAACAGCAGGGGGCAGCATGGTCACGCCCGCTTGCGACGTGGTCACGCCGCTCCACTGCCTAGGATGTCATGGTCACGCCATCTCTGGCGTGGTCACGCCAACTCTGACGTGGTCACGCTAGGTGTCTTTGATAGGTAGCATGATCACGCCACTTTCAGGCATGGTCACGCAGCTTCGCAACACTTCTTCGCTTAATTTTCTCGTTACAACTTGTTCGTATTCAACACTTGCATCTTGCACAATATTAAGGAAAACCCTTCTCAAGTGTAAAATTATGATAAATACAAAAGAATAAGATATAACATGTAGGAAGAATGGCAGGTAAAATCACGTAAAATTGACACATGTCAGAAGTCAGGTCCAGAAAAGAGATAGGAATGGGAAGCACGAAATCAACAGAAGGATGAAAAATACAAATGTGAACTGCTCATCAAATTTAAACAATCTCAAGAGGAAGCCATCCAAAAAAGATAATGGCAAAGAACATCATAATTCTAAAGGCAAGCAACTAGATCAGGGCATTGCATCAAGTAATGATGGTTGAAGAAAACAAGAAGGTCAAAAACCTTTAATATTATGAAGAATGGGATGAAATAAGAAAAATTGAAAAAGAACAAGTTGTAATACCATATGTGAAAAAAGAAGGCTAGGCTCAATTTATTTATTTCATAACAAATCATGGTAATAAATGTCTGCAATATTCATAGAGTATTCTAAGAAAAAGAAAAGAAAACTAGCTTACACCAAAACGAGAAACATATAAAATAACAATACACCCCTTGATCGAAAAAAATATGAATTTCCTAACAAACTACATATAGAGAATGTCAATATTCACACACCAACCTCCCTTAAAAATAAATAAGAATTTTACATTGAGGTTTCGGATCAAATTTTTAGAAGACAAATTAGATTGTAGATAAAACACTAGAGAGAATTGTTCTCATTTTGCGGTGACTTTTAAGATTTAAGGTTTGAGGTTTTTCATAAGCATGAGTCTCTATTGTTAATTACCTTTCCTGATTATGGGAGAGCGCTTTCAATTAAAACTAATGATTAGGCACTAAATATTTAGAATTTTCATATAATAGAAAATAAAATTAATTATATATTGTAAAAATTTATCACCATGGCTTTAAAGCGAATGATAGCGGAAAGAAGACGAACAAAATTAAAATCTCAAGGTTTCATCATCCCAGGTTAACATCGATCCTATTATATTTAGTCAGAGAATGTAGTTAACTTAGCCTAATAGAAAAATCTTTGTCAGCAGTCACGGATTATTTTGTCCAATGAAACCTTCCAGAACTAAGATAAATATCTATCTAAGGAGACAAATTCAAGTCGACCTTAGCTTACAGAGGGCTTTGTGTCCTATCAGGTATACACAATAATTCACAACATAAATGGTAGAAAATCATTGATGAGCATGGCTGCAAACATAATTGTAATATAGTGGAGCATGCTAATCAAACCACCTAGTTAAAGGGCTCTAATCATAATTATTTCATTTGTGGAGTCTAATGGATAAATCATGGAAATAGAGGACTCGGAATATGCTCTTACTAGCACAAATAAATTCAAATATAAATATAATAGCATGCTTAATATAATATTAGCTCCTAATAAGCTCAAATTAATCATAAATTTGAGCTCTCAACAAACGATTGTGGAAGATAAATGAGATTTTCTTTAAACAGTAATTCATGATATATTTTATTTAAAATTTTTTAGAATTTTTTTTTTACAATTTGAATTTTTTTTATTTTGGAATAGGCTTTTCTGGTAGAGATTTGCATTCAATATGACCCTCATTGGAGATTTAAGTAATATTGCATGTTATTGACTCTGTATTGTTTATAGATCATAAAGCACATAATCTTAATCAATTAAGTTTATTTAAATATTATTTTGAGCTTAATTTTAAAAATAGATCCCTCCGATTGAGATCACAATGAACAAAACCATCATCAAGGTATTTATTTGATTATTTGATTTGAGTCTTATCAGCATTGCACCTTGCTTGCAAAGGATCTAGGCAGTAGTATTAAGTTTATTCAAATACTTGTTACAATGTAAATCACATCAACTCTAACTCATATATGTAAAAGATCAAACTTATGAGTAAATCTCATTATGGCAATTTAGAGAATGTAGTAATGTATTGAAAGTTTTATTTTTGAGTCAATTTTTTCATAATGAAGGGTTTAATAGTTTTATGTAGATATTACATTAGATATCCATGTCTTTTGTATAAGATCAACATTTAAATCCTTAGCCAGTAAATAACACTTGGTTTTGTTAACACTAGTCTTTGTTTGGAGAAAGATTATCAACATTAGGTTATACCTACGACCATAACCTATAAAGAAGGTGGCCCAATCAAGAGCACTTGTCAATCAATGATAATAAATTTAATTTTGAATTGAGAGATATTATTAAATTCAAAATATCAAAATATTTTTCAAATTAATTGCACATTTCTCGATGCTAGGAAATTTATATTAACTTTATTTCTTATTGGCTTGCACAATATCTTAGACAACAGAATTTGCTAAGCATATTAGACAGAGCACACGCCGGTTCTTAATATATTAGTATGCATGTTTTCCGAAGTACGATATTTTTTTTTTGTTCGCTTGTAGGTTTGTGAAGCGGATTCAAAAGCATAAAAGGCATATAGATTACGAATTAATTTGCATTCTTTAATAGATTCCAATTTAAATTATTGGCCTATAGATGTCATTTCAAATTTTTTACTTGCATATTAATCTTTATATGATATAATTTATTTAAACCCATAAGGCATCTTTTCCCATCTATAAACAAAAGAATGGCTCAGTTCATTTTCATTCAATTTTGGGCTCATTTATTTGTGTTCTGAGAGTTCTGCATATAAAGAAGTTATGCTCATCTTTTGAGAGTGAAATTACAAATCTCCTGTAAGTTTTATAAAATACTAATTGCATATAATTCTAGTAGTTTACAATATTTTAAATAATTATTTAAAGCTCATTTTAGTTTTAGTTTATGGATTTATGTTTTTCCATTTTTTACTAAGCCAAATTTATTTATTTTTATTTTTAAGCAAAATTTTAACTAAATTTCAAAAAACCCCTAAATCATCCCCGTGTGGGAGCCTACATTAGGAGTGTTAAGCCTTCCCACCACACTTAAAAAAACATGCAAGTTCAATGCCTTGCTACATTGCGGCTGAGGGTCACAAGTCCACCATGCTTACAAAAACACACATAAAAATTTTGGTTGCCTGCATAAAAAAATAACACACACATCACCCCTTTCCTTAAGTTGACAATATGCGCATGGATGTTTAACCGACACGACTAAAGAATTATATATCAGTGGGTATGTTTGCGCGCGTGTGTGAATTTAATTAGATAATAATAATAATAACAATGGTAATTATCATTACTATTAGAGTTGAGAAAATATAAATCAGGGTGTAAATTCTCATTTAACATACAATTTTCCTTTTTTATATCTTAATGTGCATGATGTTGGTTATGTACTTTTTAGGCAATTTTGATGCTTTAAACACATTTGTGTGGTCCATCTTATGAACGGACAAAGTCAGTGATTTTTTCATTGATTAGGTCACCTTGACTCAGATTTGCACGGTGTTGCCTCAACATCTACGCATCATCATGCTCGAGCAGATCAACTGCAAAAGATTCCACTTTGTTGATATTGTTGGTGTTGTGCAAACATTGGTGTGATATAATTTTGTGCACAAACAAGACTTTGAATGTTCTAATTGTGATTGACACATTCGAACACATTGTATGCATCGTTTTATCTATATGTCTATTCTTGATATTGCATTCAATTATGTCGGTTTATGTTTCTTATACTGAGGTCAATATATACAACCCAAAATATCTTAGACTAATCAAATGAGCCTAGCAAGTCCTTCAATCCACCTGGATGGATATCTAGGCCAATCCTAGACTTCCTTTTTGAGGTAGTCAAGGCTTCAACATGTTTTGCAACAATAAATGCAAACAATTAACATAAAATAAGTACATTTTTTTGAATATAAATATATGATCCACACCAGTACATTTCATCACTCATCAAAATAATTGATTTATCGTGCATTTCAAATGGTTAAAATTTCAATCCTGTTTTAATAATTGGTTTCAGTCGAAACAGAATTGGGACTTTCCAATTAATTCACCTTCATCACCCACATGCTACAATGGTTAATTATGAGAAAAGTATTCTTCTTTTTTATTTTATTTTGAGCAGTATTTAGGCCCCCAAATTTTTTTGTTCGTCATTAAGTGACAAAATGCATTTTGTCTCAAGGCACGCTCAAAAAATTTGTGTGACACTTGATTGATTATAAACAGCAATTAACTAACACCTCTTATGTTTGGAGATTAGTATTGGACTAGTTTCAAATGCATTAAACATTTTGCCTAAAAAATTATTGTGGAAAAGAGATAGTTCACGCAAAAACAAATCACCTGTGGCCTCCATTTTCTTGTGGCTATATGCAAAGCTGTGTTACCCTTCTTGTCCTGTACATTGAGTATTGTGGGATCTGCATGTAGTAATTCATCCACGACATAAGGATTCTTTCCTTTTACAGCCATATGAAGAGCAGTCTGACCCTTTTTATCCCTGATTGAAGCTAGTCCCGGGTCCTTCTCTAAAAGAGCTCTGACTATCTGAAAAAATCCATTTCTTGCAGCCATATGCAGTGAAGTCTTTCCATTTTTTCTTACAATCCTTATGGATCTCTCATCCGCAACCAGTATAGCATTTACAACATCTAAATGATCCTTAACTGCTGCAGAATATAAAGGACTGGTATTTGATGAATCACATAACTGGCACAGCCCAGGCCACACATTCAACAACTCCTTGACAATACCTGATAAAAATTCAGTCAAATTGGAAAAACTGCTATGAAAATATATATTCAAACACTACTAAATCAAAGAATCATAGGCTACAGATTCAACAAACCAGATCAGATGAGCTTTAAATGTGGTTCAAAGAAGTACTCAAAAAATGATATTCTATAGTGAAATAAAAAAATACTTCCAATAAAATTATATTTTTTTATTGAAGAAAAAAAAAATAAATGAATTCAAAATTTAATAGGAAAAATTGTTTTTTTTAAGGAATTAAATTTTCCCTAAGAACCATTTCACATTAAAAAAATATATAGGTTCATTTAATCCACATCAACAATATTTATAACTAGAATAATATTGGATATGTTGACCTAGTCTTACTATGTTGAATTTTATTCGTTTGAATTCATGCATTTGAATAAAACAATAGAAACAATAAAATGTATTTGCAAATTTCAGGAGACCAACTAGAACATGACAAAATCAATGCTAAGGTGCTGACAAAACAGACAGAAGGATAAATTATAATAAGTGAGTGGAAAGGTTGGTCAGCAGAATTAATATAACTCCTACATTAAAGCCACAAAGTTCAAGATTATCACAACAATTTTGTCCTGTCTTATGCTCATCCGGACAACTTAAGGAGCTTGATGGAGAAACTAAATTTAATGGACCTTATCAAGCTTAAGTTCTTCTTTATCCAAACTTTAAGTGAAAAGAATTACCAAGGGAACTCAAAACACCACTCAATCTTGTTTAATAAATAAATTTTATAATGAAGCTAGTTCTTAGTCCTTATTACTAATAGCTGTAGATAAAGAAATCAAGTCAAATGCGAAGAAATTAAAAGCATAATTGTAGATTAAAGAAATCCATCATTGCAAAAACTAAAAAAATACATAAGAACACGTTACAATAAATTAGGGCATCTGAACACGCCAATAATCCCCCATGCCCCACCACACCACCCCGACCCCTTCTCGACTTCATACTCCTAACCAACTCACCTATCTAAACTTTATATATACAATGAAGAAAATAATTTTGAACACAATATCAAAATAGCTCAAACAATATTTGTATCTTTCGCGGCTCAACTATTTAAATATCGGATGATTCTAATTGCCGTACTCTGAAAAAAAAATTATACAGTTAAAAAAATGGTTAAATCAAGAATTACACAACGACAATACCGATTCGAATCCTCGTCATAGATAAATATACCCCTGATCCTATCTTGGCCCTCTAAAGTGCAAAAAAAAATATAAACCTCCAAATCCCGTACTTAGAAGTTTCACCACGAAACAAAAACATTTCCCAATTTCACCAATTAAATAGAAGTTAACCTGATTACGAAAAGAAATCAATCCACTATCGATCTCAATTCCTTCTCTCAAACTCAAAAAAGTAACCAAGAATCAGTTAAAAGAGAGCGCGAGAAGGAGAGAAAAGAGACGAACGAACCAACGTGGCCTTGCTTCGCGGCGACCTGGAAGGCATCCATGTCGAGGCGGGAGCGAATCTTAGCCGTCTCAAAGTCGCAGATAGTCAGCAGGTATCGAACCACCTCCTCCAAGTTCTGCTCGGCCGCTATGTACAGCGCCGTCTCTCCTGCTTCAGTCTGCGCCAACAAAAGCGCCGACACAGCCTCCTCTCCGCCGCCTTCGGCCACCCCATCCACCGCCCGCCGAACTGCCTCTACGTCCCCCGACCGAACCGCCTCGAAGAACGCCGGCTGTTGCGATCGGAGACGCAGATCCATTCCCTATTGCTTCCAGTATTTTTGGGTAGGAGGGGAATCCTGATCTGCTCTCACTGTCGAGCTTATAAGCGCCGTCTGGCTTTTTCCCACGCGGAGAGAAGGGAATCTTCTCAAATCCAAATCATTGGATCCGTGTGGCCGCTTATAGTGCCCATGCTGTAGCGATACCTGTTGCTGGTTTCAGTGGCCGGGAAAATGGCGCGAGGGCAACTAGCAGTGCCGCCGTACGGAGAAGTTTAGGCGCTTTGGGGCTAATTTAGGAAGTATACGGTGACTGTTTTTACAATTTTATCCTCATAAATAAGAAATTTTCAAATAGGATAAAAATAATAATTTTTTTTTCAAAAAAAAATATTAATATTTTCATCCATATTTTGTCCTGGCAAAAATATATTGTAATGAGCTACTTTTCTTAGATAAGACATTAATCTTTCTAACTTTTAATTAAAAAAAATAATAAATTGAATTAATTAATTGCAGAAAATAATTAATAATATGGTATAGTGAATTATTTCTCAAAAAATTAAATTGAAATAAATTAAGAGATATATCTAAGTTAAATCTAAGCTAGATTTAAGGTGCATTTAAAATATAAAAATACGAAATAATCAAAATGCAAAATAAAAAAATTAATGAATAATTTTATATAAGAAATTGACATGTTTTTTTTATGACAGGCTGAATTTGAAAGATGCTTGTTAGGAGGATGGGGAGCATGTGTGTAAGCTAAGGCTGAAAGCAAAAAAATTATGACGGAGATTAATACTTTAAATGTCGATTAAACTGTTAAATTAATCATGAAAATGTTGAATTTATGATATGAAACAGAGAATATGTATATATATAGCCAAATAAAGCCACATAACCTCGTAAGGCTTTTTTAGAGTTACTTCATAAAGAACTTTATGGGCCTTAAATGCCCATATCCAAAGTTCTAGTTATTCTTAGACCGAGTCTATCTGCCGAAGTGGTTGAACTTAGCACACCTACTAATATGGTTGAAACATGAAACACTAGAGAAGATCATCATTACACACAAGAACATGTGTCCCACTTAAAGCTCAACTCGACCCCACTTCTCAATCTTTTCATCAAGACATCACAAACAAGCATTGTACCGTATGGAATACCTTATGGAATACGATTGTATATTTCTTTTCTCTCATGTATAAAAGGTGGTGAGAGTAGCTCATAAGGAGATTTTTCTCTTTTCTTCTAAAAAAGATGATTTACAAAAGAGTTTCACACACACCCTCTCTCTCTCTCTCTCTCTCTCTCTCTCTCTCTCTCTCCCCCCCCCTCTCTCTCTCTTCCCCTCTTTATGGGGGAAGAAGAGATCCTTCCATCATCTTCATTGATACATCCTCCTAGATACAGAGACTTTATTGGGTTGCATTAACTCGCAAACAATATGAGACCCTACATCCTAAAAAGTGCAATCAGTGTGGAGTTCATACTCAAACTCAACAAGAAGATCCTTTAAGTGAAAGGTGAATCAAACAAACATAATGGATTGTACCAAAGAGTATGTGACACAATAGATCAACGAGTTGAAGGGATAGCATCTGATAGTTATACAACATTCAAGGCAAGAAGCCTCCATATCCTTTCTCAATGATCCACCTAGAGAGCATATGTAATCATCGAGGTGAGTGTCACATAGACAAGGGACGTCAAGTTGTAAACAATCAAGATAAAGAACCATCTCGACACGACCTACCAAGGGCATTACCCAAACGGGCCCTTGGTCTGAGAATAGAAGAAGAAGAAGAAGAAGAAGAAGAAGAAGAAGAAGAAGAAGAAGAAGCAAAAGAAAGGGACGAAACCTACATCCTAAAGCAGAAACATTATGAATCCTTTAACAAAGGAGTCAAAAAGAGAAGAAGAAGAAAACACAGAGCGTTGAAGAATGTATTATCAAAAGAGATTGGGGAAGTTAAGGCACTAAAGAAGTTTAAAATTTTTCTTTGGAATCATATAAATAAAAGTCATATCATGTTAATCATGTATCATCTTTCGAGTCAGTTGTATGTCAATTAATGATAAATGATGTCATTAGATGTTGTTTGTTCCTTATGATACTAAAAGAATCGACCTTGTGTTGGTTCAATAACATATCTATTAGAGTCTTGAGCTCCTACAGGGAGTTCAAACATTTGTTCATAACTCAGTTCGCTAGCATACAAAAGCCACTAAGAACTCTCAAGCTCTCCTGAAGATCCATCAGGACCCCACGAAAAGCCTCATAAGCTTCATCACCCGATTCTAGTGAGAGATGTTGGATTCTCGGGACTTGGAACATGTTTTTGCTAATGCAGGCTTAGCTCAAGGCCTACATTAAGGTCAGTTCATGTACACAATTGGCTTACAAAAGCCAAGAACTTCAGTTGAGCTCTCAAAACTCACAAATCATTACTTTTTTTTAAGGAATAAGATTGTCAATTTGGCTTCTCCATATCATAAGAGTCAAAGTAAAGTTTCAATGCATGTTTTGTCGAGAGCGAGACATCACTTTGATGGGAATAACTTTCAGGGCCCTCTCAATAAATGCTTCTAATGAAAGGAGGGAGAAAATATTGACAGGAGATTAGTGGGAAGAAAGCCTGAAAGGAGACAGGAAATGGCTCGGTTCCATCCGGTTGAGGTAACAACTTTGAGAGTGTCAATGACCGAGATCATAGAGTTCATCCAAAAAAAGAATTATTCAAGAAGTCAATTCCCATGAAGGCTGGAACTTACATGTGTGATCCCAATTGATATTATGCCTACAATAGAAACCACGGTCATGATACAAAGTAATTTTGACACTTCTACAACCTCATTAAGGAATTAATAAAGACAAGAAAGTTAAAGGATTTCATAACCCCAAAAGCTAACACTAAATAATAGGAATAGGTACCAATAGAGTACACCAATAATGATCAAGCTCTGACAAAATTAGTACATGTCATCGACATTATACAAGTTGTCTGACGCACCAAAATAATATGTTATTTTAAGTATATGTTTTATATTTATTTTTTGTAATATTGCAGTTTAAAGAAGAGTATTTTCATGTTTTTGTTGCATATATATCAATTTTAGGCATTTGGAGCAAAAGTAGCAAAAAGAACGAAATTTGGAGCCAAAATAACAAAGTTTCAAATTTTGGCGCATGATGCGCCAAAACCCAGAATAGCTCGACCTTCAGCAAACTAGCGCATGATGGGCCAGATTGGCGTCAAATAATCCATTTGACAGAGAGCTGGCGCATGATGCGCCAGGGGCGACTTTTTGCAGATTAAGGCAGTTCAAGACGAATTTTGCACGAATTTTCAAGGGGACACTTGTTCTAAACACCCCTTGGAGTACTTCAATGCATCTAGACATTTTGAAAGGTTCTTTTATGAAGGAATATGTCTCTTGGAACAATGGACTTGTCTTTTGAATTTAAAAGAGTTGACTTTTTTCACAGAATTTTGGAGGGAATATTGAATTTTTTTTTTTAGGGAAACAGCCTTTAATTAAATAGAAGGAAGTCTAAGGCTTGAAGAGGAAAGGAGTTTTGGGCGTGAAGAAGGAGAGTTAGAGAGAGAGAGAGAAAGTAAAGAGCTTGGAGATTTTCTTCAAGGATTGTAAGAGGAGAGAAAAGGTGAGAGATTTGTTCTTCATTACACTTCTAAGAGAGAATTGAGAGTGCTTGTAAAGAGAGAATTGCTTAGAAAGAACTTCTAGGAGTTTGCTTGGGAAGGATTGTGAGATAAGTTGTGTCTTTTATTTCTTTTTTTTTGTAAACTTATTTTTATAAATATAATTCGTATTTTATCATATCCTTCTTGTGAATTCTGAGTAGTTTTCTTTATCCTTATCCCTACTTTAAGATATGGTTTTGTGAAAAATTGATTTTGTTTTATGTCATTTTAAATGTCAATAATTTGTGGTGATTTGAACTCTCATATTCATTTATTTTTTGATCTGACCAATTGAAATGTTAAAATGTGTTGAGAAACATATATTCCAAAAAGGCTATGATTTCTACAACATGGGGAGAATCACATTTGATTTCATGGGAGAGTATTTCATCCATAGAATTGGGTAAATAGAGGAATATACTTTATTGGATGCAGAATTGGAGATTTCATGGTGACAGATTAAAATCCTCAATTTGGTCTAGTTGATTGGAAACTGATGCGAGATTGTTAGCCCTCAGGGAAGGGAGTAGTGGGAGCTCTAGAGTGGCAACCAGTATCCTACCAGCCTAAACATGAAATTATGGACCAAACTCTGAATTAGTCAATGTTTTGTATGCACTCGGAAAGGGTAAAGAATAGGATTGCTCATATTTAACACAAAATAGTTTTTGTATATATTTTCAAATGATTTTAATTTCTTCACAAATCATATACTCATTGTAAAGGAGAATGATGTTTTCTTAAATTTGAACTTTCCGTCACAACATCTTAGTTTTAATTTTTGAAATTTTACTTTTGAAAGTTTAGCATTCAATTTAGTTAACTTTGTCTTTCAACTGCATTTTAATTAACAATCACTTGTTACTTAATATTCAAACTTCGCACTTTACCTTTTTTATAATTTAAAAATAGTACTTTACATTATAATCATAGGAACTTATTTATAGGCATTTCCAACTTCCCTATAGGATTGATATCTAGGACTCCATTAAAGCCCTTTATTACTTAAGCGATATGTATACATGTGTTATTTTTAAAGGGGATTTTGGCAATTTAAAGAGTATTAAAAGATAAATGTATTTTAATTGAAGTCATTTTGTTGGGATTAATTTAAATATTTGTTATTGTATTTGTTGTGTGTATTTTTTAATATTGAAAAATATTTACAAAACTAACACTAAATCCACCCGCATCACTATCTTTGAAGGAGACAAAATTCAAGCTTCATAAAGGTCTACTTGAAGCGGTTGAAAACTGTAGAGGTCCACTTAACCACCCCGATTTAGTGTTCAACATTGAACCATTCTCAAATGTCAATCTGTCTGTTGGAGGAACCCATTTAATGATGATGTTGTGGTCACTGATCCCGACATAATATGTGTGTGCTTAGTATGTAATTACTTCAATTTCAAATTCAAACAAAGGCTCCAAAAACTTGACTCCCACTACCCATATGTGCTT